TGTTGGAAATAGTGATGTTGCAAGAAGATGAAGGTGGAGGAGATGAAAGAAGATGAAGGTGGAAGAGATGAAGATGTATGGTGATGTTGGGATTGAAGGAAGGAGGAGAAAGAAGTAGAAGAAGGGAGAATGACAAAAATAGCCTCCACTTTTGACCGAAAATGACTAGTTTACCACTTGATAAACAACAATGATAAACATCAAATGTTTATCAAGGTGATAAACATGGTTTTCCTCTCCAAATGTACATTGTACAATACCATGCACTATTACTATATCATTATTTAGAGAGATGATACACATAAACCTGGTTTATGTGGGGTAGACAGAAACTCCCAATAAAAAAGCGCCACTTTACTGCTAGCGAAAAAAAAAGAGAGGGAAAATTGAGGGGGGGGATATTTGGCTTTAGGCACCTAAATTCACTATTGGGCGGGAGAAAAGTCTTAGCGCCATATCCCATTTAATGCTTATAATACCACCGACATCTTCACTTTAATGAATTAACTAGTTTTTGGCCCGAGCAATGCCCCGGGTCATATGTATATTTTGAATGAGATTTTATAATAAAAATTATATGATAAAATATAAATATAGATTAAATTAGTTACATTTACTTCAGTACTCGTACTATTCAAATATATTTTTCAAATCATTATTGAATATCATAAATATATTATCCAATATCTTGTATTTAAAATTATTAATTTTACTTCGTTCAACTGCAAGTTTATGAATATGATTAACTCTTTTAACAAAACATTGTATATATGAGATGTGTCATTAGAGTAGTGGTTGAAGTTAAAGCATAATAAGCATGAGGTTATATGTTCGAACATTAATGCTAACAATTCATTTTTTTTTTATTAATTATAGTAATTGTATGACATGGCGTCACATATTTGTCTAGTCATGATGACACATGGCGGGCTCATGTCTTCCCATTGAGTTTTAATATATATATATATATAATGTCTTCCCATTGAGTTTTAATATATATATATATATATATATATATACACATATACATATACACATATATATACATATACATATACATAAAAAATTTCAAAATAAGTAAATATGGCAATTTTGTCAAAACAAGTGTAACTTTATGAAATTAATTACAGATATATAACATAATTAGTTCATAACAAAAGGAAAGAAATGAAAAATAATATTATTATTATTCGAGTATAAATAATAATAGCAGGTATCGTATTCTAAAACATTTTATTTGTGAACTGCTAAACTTCGCTCCCAATTTACCAGGCGTCGCTCCCATTTTGACATGAAAGGACCATATTGCCCTTTCCATAAGTTGGACTATATAAGGCTCCACCACTTGGTTAAAAAGATTCCGGAGTATTTTAATATTATTCCCGAGCACATTCGATCCACCACTTGGTTAAAAAAATTCCCGAGCCCACCACATCCAACCAACCCAAAATTCCCGAGCCCACCACCAAAAATCCCATTTTTTTTTAAAAAAAATTATTAAGCTTTAGCGAGGGGTTTAGGACGAAAGATGACGACAACGATCGTACACCGGAGGCATCGTCGGAGGATTCTGTAAGTCCTCGAAATTTTTATTTTTATTTTTTGAAAAGCGTACATCCGCCTAAAATTTCCGGATCCACCATGGAAGATCCGGAAATTCTAGGCGGGTGTGTACATCCGCCTAGAATTTCCGGATCTTCCATGGTGGATCCGGAAATTTTAAGCGGATCCACCATGGAGGATCCGCCTAGAATTTCCTGATCCACCATGGAAGATCCAGAAATTCTAGGCGGATCCACCATGGAGGATCCAGATTTTTTAGGCGGATGTCCATTTTTTTTTATTGATTAATTAATCAAAACGATTTTTTTTTTTTGAAATTAATTAATGAAATCTTTTAATGTAATTTTTGTATGATAATTATAATTTTTATTGTGATTATTATTATTTTTGTGATAATTTAAGTAATTAGTATTAGTATTATTAGTTATTTTTGTGAATTTTCTGTGTTTTTTTTTAAATTTCAGATTTTAAAGTTTATCGAGCGTGAAATGTGTTGTAAGTGTCGTGAGTGAGTGTCGTGAGTATTTATATACGAAGGGTAAATACGGAATTTCAAGGAAAAAATACGAGTGATGCCTAGTAATTTGGGAGCGACGTTTAACAACCCCCTTTTATTTGGATCAGTTTTAGTTATAATGCTACCAAACTTTACAGTAACTAATTAATAAGTGTAATTTTTATTTTTATTTTTTTTTTGAGAAAATTAATAAGTGTAATTAAACATAATAGATGTACTCCATAAAAATTAAAAAAAATAAAATAAAAATAAAAAATTACAAACTAAAAAAACAATTTACATGTACTAACTTGACAAGAAAGTTATTTTATATTTGACTTATTAGTTAGAGCCTTAACAGTTGAACTCATTATGCTCTGTAATAACAATACAACTACTAAATCTCAATCAATTGTTTCACTAATAACTTAAAAAACGCTCCTAACATTAATATTAGATAATGATTGATTATTAAAAGGAATAGCAATTATTAAGATTGTAATATACAAATACTAACACTCGATCAATTATTTTCGAAAAAGTTAGATTATATAAAAATTATCATTTTAAATATATAATGCTTGCTTGAACCACCTATTACTAATGACAATACTTGAGTTGATGGGTTAAAATAAAATAATGAAGGTTAAAAAGCAAAGAGTAGAGGGTTAAAATAAAATACATTTGTAATACAAACATATAATATCGGTTACTAATAAATCCTCATTATTATTATTAGTAAAAGTCTTATTCCTTAATATTAGTGGTAGATAATTTGATTATTATAAGGCCCACCAATTATTAATATTTTAATGTACAAAAACAATATCTTGACAAATTATTTTTATTAAAAAATATAATTATGGTCCTTTATATTAATTTAACTTCTAAAACTCGATAAATTATTCTCCTTAATATTAATAATAGATAAATCATTAATATAAGGCAACAATTTTTGAATCTTGTAATCTTTGTATTGTTATCCTATTTCTCATCGTGTAATTAGGAGATTAGTAACTATATTCAATAAACCATTTATTCATCATTGTTTGGAATACTAATATGATCTTATATTCTTATTCCTTAATATTAGATATTCGATTACTCAAAGACACAAAAATTATTAAACTTGTAGTATACACATACTAACACTCGATCACTTGTTACTTTTAAAATGAAATGATGCCCCATTATAATAATACAACTACTAAATCTCGATCTGTTGTTTTACCAAAAAATGAAATTACGCTGCTTAATATTAATATTTGATTATAAATGATTATTAAAATGAATCACAATTATTAATAGTGTAATATACGAATTCTAACACTCGATAAATTGTTTTAGCAAAAAGTGAGATTATACAAAATAATCATTTACAAAATATAATAGTGAAGGGTTAAAATAAAATGGTGGAGGGTTATAATAAATTAAATTTAGATTACAAATAATAGTTATTGGTTACTAAAAAATATTCATTTTTTCAAAAAGGATTTAAACTTGCAAAATAAGTAAAAGTTTTAAACATATTAATAATAATACTTTTAATTTTTCGAAAGTTTGTTTACATCTTGTAAGGATTATTTTAACTAGCATTACTAGTTATATTTTCGTTGCTTAATATTAATATTAGATAACTAATATCATAAGCCACACCATTTATAAATTTTTTAATATAAAATAAAATAGAAACTCTTGATAACTCTCGATCAATTGTTGTTTTTTTTTAAAAGGGAAACTATGCTTCTTAATATTGAGATATTTAACAACTAAATCTCGATAACATGTTTTATCAAAAATTAGAATTATGCTTCGTAATATCAAAATGTGAAACTATTTACCATGTTAACATCTTCTTACTTTATATTTTTATAGTATACACCACCATTATTTTAAAACTATATTATAGGTTTTGAATAAAATTTAAATAATTATTATTACTGTAATCTAGTTAATGAATACTATTAAAATAAATGGTGTTACTAAATTAATTGACTCCAAGAGTCTGGTACTAAAATTGAATATTAATTTCTTATTAATGTATCATCGTGATAATTCAAGGAGTTTAATGTGTTGTCTTTGTAATTAATCCAATATCCAACATCTCTTACTGGTCAATAATATAAGTTAAAGAAATTTTATACTTTGATGTTTATATTCTGGGAAAACTGTTCTTTAAAAAATAAATAAATAAAATAAAAAATAAAAAAAAAACTGGGTAAATTGAAGAACATTGTAATTAACGATATTTTGATTCACATAATATACGACGCTTCGACTGAAAAACTTATAACATAATTTGTCTTCAAACTAGTTTAATAATTAGAAAAATCAAAACAATGAAGCTAATATAAAAAAATTAAAAATTAAAAAAAAAATAAAAAATAAAAATAAAATAAATAATAAAAAAAAACCTTTTTTGCTACTTTTGAACCTAACATTCATACAAATCAAATTATGAAAAAAATTTCAAATATTAGATCGGTAACACAAAGATAAATAACAAATAATTAAAAATTTATTGTATAACTTAACGTTGTATATTCATATGAATTTTGAAAAAACAAATAAATCTTCAAGCAAAAGATGAACAATTTTTTACATAAAATCTACAAGAACATGAAGAACTTAACAAGAGAGAAAAGAGAGCAAAAATCGAAACGGTTAAAATCGAAATTCCAACCGCAACAATTTTTAGTCAAAGATAATAGACGGATAATTAGTCGTGAAACATAATAAACTTTATATTAAAAAATGTAATAACAGAAAAAATTTGAAAAAAAAAAGAATTGAATTTAAGAACATGAAGAACAAGAAGAGAGAGAAGAGAGAAAAATTGGACCAAAAATAAAATTAGCCAGAAAAAATGAGGAGAGAGAATGGGTTGATTGGGAATGTAGGGCTTGTGTATTGAAAATATAAATCTGATTTGAAAATTTGGTTTGAAATTTGAATAAAATGTTAAAATATATTATTTTTGGGGTTCAAAGCTAATACCTATCACACATTGTCACGTCAACGGTTTATATATGGTCCACATAAACCAGGTTTATGTGTAGCCTTTGCCCATTATTTATTACATGTTTACATCAATCAAATCACAAGTCTACAGGAGAGGCATGATGAACACTAATAAGCCAATGACCATCAACTCTTTCAAAAACATTGGTGGCAAATTGTCTTCCCCAGCTACTGCCTTTAGTTTTAACTAATTCAACACAAGTTACATATCCAATTTCTCCTCTCACATGCACCTGAACATCTCTCAGCTCAATCTCCAAAGGGAATTCATAGTCTACCCAAACATATTCCCAGCTCCGCATTACAAGCTCGTAGCCAGATATCCCACTCGAACCAGGATGTACGCAGCACACATTATCCCCTTTTGCCCAAAGGTTTTGCATAGAGGCTAGATCTCCAATCCTGAAAGCATTGTAAAACCGAGCATTTGCTGCAAGCACAGATGCCTCACTGTCCTTGTGAAGAACTCGAATTCTGTCACGTATCCTTGCAGCTTCAGCATAGTTTTCCTGTTCAATAGCAATGTCCAACTCTCTTTCCAAGCTCTCCTCGTTTAACAGTATGCTTTCACCACTGACAGCTCTCCCCAAATCATCACTAGTTGCTTTACAAGGTTGCAATGAAGAGAGAGAAACTTTTTCACTAGATGCTGGGCTGGATGCAAACATATATTACACTCTTTATACAGCATCTTATGATCAGAAAGACAGAAATCATCTTTACAATCAATAAAAGACAACAGGATATTAGATAGTGTGAGATTGCGATCATCTCAAGCAAAGTCCTCTACTGGAAGGAAGCATGGATTTTATACATTTTACCATTTGATGTTGGAATTTTGAGTATGTCATTTGTTCCGTAAGCATGACAGTTGCATAACTTAATTCTTATCATGGTAGACCGTTGACAACAGCTACAAATCAACTTAAAAGTTGTTCGCCCAAGTAAGAATATTGCTAGGGTTCGGAAGATACACCTTGCCATCAAGAACAATAAAAAACTCAGTCATACACTAGATACCTGCAAGTAGGCAATAGCACCGGACACAAGCATAGGCAGGTCATACTCGGACATAATCTTTCAGGGCATCACCTAAGAATAATCATAAGTGCTGTACACATTATTTTAACGGTTTAACCTTGTCCAAAATGTTGTACCATAGCAAATAAGCAATTCAATAAACTGCAGTTTGTGTTACATTATGACTAGAAGACCATCAAACTGAGCTAACTAGTCCACCACGTACCTACTACAGTATAGAAAACTGCAACTTCAATTAATTCCCTGATTAAATAAGCAAATCAGAGAGTTAACTATTAACTGTCCCCAAATCAGTCAAAATAAGTAGCAGCGGTAAAGATTATTGGGAATTTAGCCATGAGACTATTTCACAATAACAAGTGTGAAATAAGGATGACCTAATTTAATGGTATAAAGGTTTTAGGGAGGCCTTCATACATTTAACAGAAAGTTAGTCAAGACTTACTCAAGGATTTGACCCCCAACATTAAATCATAACTTTCACCTTATGCTTAGACATTAAATCTGTGTTGATCATCAGAAAAGTCTTTCCTTGGTTAGCCTAAGAACATAAGTCTTTTTTATGATGGAATCGCCTACAACAGTCACTCTTAATATGATCAAGTTAATATGGTCAGCACCAGGAATTCCTCAAAATTGAAAAATACAAGAGCTCCAAACAAGTGTAAAGTTGTAAACACATGGTCATGTGATTCACCCCAATACTGTGTACACAGAGTCACAGACAAACAATACAGGTTTAATTTTTCCGAAATCATTGGAATAATGCAAGGTCAATAAATCACTTAATTTACTCATGAGAACAAAAACCATACAATAAAATATAAATAGGAGATCTGCTTCCAATGAGGCGACGAAGTCTTCATATTGAATTATAGATTACTAAAAGATATGCACCAATTCAAGATCAACTAATAATACTAGGCTTTGTTCCGGCACATGATTGTCTCATTGCTTATGGGGATGTATGAAATTCTTGAAATGGTGACATGACAAATACCAGATGCCTAGCTTCCCTTCAAGAGTCTTTTGAAGTGTTATAGAAGCCTAATCTTTCTATTGAGAAACCACTGAAGCCAATCCTGTCCATTGTAACAAAGTAGTGGAAAGGCAGACACTGATCATATTCATGACAATCATTTAGATATTGTATACCCTTGCCAAACATTAAAGTTTTAGGCCTCAAGTAGATGAATCGTCACCAAAGGTATAATCCTCCCCACTCATCTTAAGAGTGACAATAGGACTGGAATTGTACAAATTTTATCTCAAAAAAAAAAAAAAAAAAAAATATATATATATATTTTATTTATTTTATTTTTATTTTTTTATAATCAAACGTGTAATCGAGAAAGAAAAGAGCCTCACGAAGAACAGAAAATTGGATGAAGATACCTAAGCAATAGCTTGCAATATGCACATAAAATTCATCTGCATAAACTGATATAGAAATTCATATTTGATAACAAATTATATTGCTTTAAATTTATTATAATCAAATTTAAATAAATATAGATTATAATTTATAAGTAAACAAAAACGGAAAGTAATTACTATAGAAATATTGTACTTCCTCCGTTCTCTTTTAATTGTAACGTGAGAGAAGTGGGGGGGCACAATTTTAAGGAGGGATAGGCATAGGGAGAAATAAAAATGAGGAGCATATGATGAGGAGAGAGATAAAGAGAATCATTGGCCAAATAAAGTAATGTTGCGTTTTTCAACTTGTCAAAAAGGAATGTGTTGTGATAGTAAAATAACTGAGGATTTATGATTAGTAGTCCTTCAGTCCTTAATAAATTGCCCCAAACCTCAATTTTTTTTTTTTTTTAGAAGCAATTGTAAATTTGTACACATGGGGTGGACACAATATTTGATGAAGAGAGAACAAGTGAAGTTGCAAGTGGGGAAATTTACAGATTAAGATATGGGGTGATTAGCATCATATATGTGGCAATGTTTTAGAGGTGGAGGGAGTTTAGCATGTTCACACATTGAAGGCACGCACACATTGTATTGATTAATGGAACTTATTATACATGCGCCTTATTTGGCTCAGAACCTAGTCACCTACTATACATTATTACAATTGGGTTTAAGCAAGCCAACTACTCAACAAAAGCCTTACCGATACCAAAATCTTTGAATTACAAATGTAACTAGCCTTATATACAACTCACACACACATTACCTCTTATGTTGTCCATGTATCACATAATAACCTTATCACCCATAAGCAAGTACATCACTACTGGGTTTAGGCCAAATCTTCTCATCAAAGCCTTACCTATTTCGAAATATTTGAATTCTGAATGTAACTAGCCTCATGCATTACTCACACGCACTCTAGTCTCCACCTCTTTAAGTTGTTTATGTAGAGTTGCAGACAATGCCTCACTACATAATCATAAAATGCTTTGTGTTTCCTTATCTATCAAGTTAATGCTTATAGGTGTCTCAGAAATTGATATCTTCATTTATAAGACTTAAGGAATTGGATAGTATCAGGTAGTGCAGTAAACTATCAAAGAAGCTTGAAGTAAATCAGACCTTCACACATAATCAAAAAGTAAATTTGATGCTAAGGACCTGTAAACTTATTACCAAAGTGGTCAAAGTGGATACTAAAAATTAAACAAAATAAATACCAATCTGCATCTAATTTCAACATCACAACATGTTCACTAATTAGGGGAAATTTCTGAAGCTAACAAAGTTTAACGTGAGCTCTTTTGTCCTTATCATTAGCAGTGCTAGAACATTTCTTCCGTACTCTATAGAGGGGCATTTTAATATTAATCATTTATTTTCATAATTATGCTATGTATTGAGTTAAACTACTAAGATGTAAGATCATAAAATGCTAAACATTGGATCTTGTTTAACGTTCAAATGTTCATCAATCACCAAAAAATCAAGCTTTAAATCCATCCCCCTTTCCCATTTCAAAGTCTATCACGCTTCCCCTAATATAGAGTTAGATAACCCTATGATTTATCACTTTATCTTCTTCTAAGGTTCCTCTACAATGTATGATAAGAAAAAGATGTATGAAAAATGACCAGTTGAGCACTTCACATCCAAGACCAAAAAAAAAAAAAAAAAAAAAAAAAGGAACTCCTATGAACAATATGACATGGAGCTCTTATATGGGTACACTAAGAGCCATGCCATTGTTACCCCAATACCACAAATGAATCTATGATGCCCATAGAATGTATCACATGGCCATCCCTTAAATGGAATGGCTACCCAACAAATAATTGAACCTCAGAGGAGGCAATCCCATCCCAACACCTCTTCAAGTCAAAAAGATCAACCAACTACCAGGCCAAAGACCAAAAAAAAAAAAAAAAAAAAAAAAAAAAAAAAAAAAAAAAAAGAGTTTAGCTATGGATAAATTGTGGGTCGATACACTGATAAGGCAGCTCATGACATTGAAAGAAAGAGCCTAAGGGCACTAATTCCCCTTGAAGATCCAACCATAAAATCATCTTTGCTGCTACATTATATATTGACCATTGGATTCTTCTCTCACATGTATTTTAATTTCTTTTGTATTACATTTTATTTGTATTTAGTTATTCACTGTTTTCTAATGTATTACTAAGCAAAACAAACAAAGGCACTTAGGGAGTAATGCTTTGCTGGAATGTGAAAAGGGATTCTTGAATATCGCATAGTGGCATGATTCACCTGGTTTGATAAAAAATTAGAATTTCTTTTATGGGAAAGAGGAGGGGGGGGGGGGGGAGGTTAAGTTCAATACCTTCATATCTAATTTCAAAAATATAGCTAGAAGAAGCATACTTTTTTCCCTTATATTTTAGGAAACCCCATAAATTTAGATTAATGATGCAAAGTAATTCAAGATAAAACTGATGCCATTAAAAACATATTCTTTAAATCTTTAATTAACAGGGTCTAAATTTTATATTGAAGTTTGGTTTAATTTCACAACCACATCCTTGTATCCACCAAAAAGAGTAATCATGTATTGAACATTTCGGTTCAAAGATCAGACACTGAAATACATATAACAGTACCAAATGGTGAGCAACTAAATTATATCTTTTACCAAGGTAACCACTAGAGCACTCACAGTTCCAATAATCCAATGTAACCAATTTATAGAACAAATCTTGAACTAGTACCAAAACCGAGGTAATCTTGGCAACCATTTTTGAGGTTATCAGATAAAGCAACCTAAGTTACTCAGGACCATCTGACAAAGCAACCTAAGTTATTCAGGACCATCAGGGGTTTGCACAATCTCGTTAATTTCCATCAACCACATCAACAATGCATCCACTAAATTCAGCATTATCTAGTCGATCACTCACAAGCATCATTTTATACACGAAAATGCATTATGATAGATCATATATGTTCAAAAAAATAGACATTGAAAGCTACTTACTATATCTTAGCTTGGCCGAAATGAAATTTTTGAGGCTTCCAAGACGATGAACATCTATATATCCTCAAACTATTGATGCCCGAAGAAGGTAAATTATTGATCTCCATGATACTTAAAACATTCCCCTACAAAATCAAATGAACTCTGATCAGCAAATGCAAATAAATTCAAAAAAAAAAAAGTTTTTAATTGCGCCAATAGGACTCTTACACTTTTCGCACTCACCTTTGACAATAAGTAGCCCCGCCCCTGAGCAATGGCGGGAGGGGCGGCCGCCTTCGGCCCAGAGAAAAAAGGTCCAATTTCATGAATTCGTATTGACATTAAAGAATCCTGCAACACATTAACAACCTTAGTTTACTCAATTATCAAAGTAAGCTCGAAAAATTAAGTTAAAATTTTCTCGCTTAGAATATGAATAGCAACAAGATTGCTCGTTAGAATCTTTCATAAGTTCAGTAATTATAACCAATTGTTGAATAATCCAGCCTAGAAGAACCCTAAAATTGACTGTAATGGTAATCAAATTAACGATTAACACTGGATTGCGAAATTGATAATCGATGATTATATTACTAATAAAAAATAAAAATAAAAAATCTTACCTCAGAAGCTGCTTGAATGGAGGAAAGAAAGCTCACAAGCCACTTCAATGGAGAATTCAGAGTACGCTTCAATGGAGAAGAGCTAGCGGGCAGGGGTGCAGAGAGTGAGAGAGGCAGCGCTAGCGTGAAATAGCTAAAGGTGGATAAAGAAAATCCGGAGTATTCTCTCTTTCCGATTTGTTTGGCCTAATCGTCGTATTTTATAGGAAAAAAATTGGTAAAAAATCTAAAAATAAACTCAAACATAGTCGTTCAATCAAAATAATCTCATTTAGGAGTGAAAGTAATTCGGTTTATAACCAAATCGAACTGCAAATCAAACAAAATAAGTAATATAGTTCGGTTTCTTTTTTAATATAATGTAGTTTGGTTTCCAAAAAAAAAATAAAAATATGGTTTCGGTTTGGCGTTTAGAAAAACCAAAAATCGAACTACAAATCGAAATTTAGGATTCTTAATTACCTACAGTCCAATCCCCTTCATATATAAGGTAACGAAAAAAAAACTAAACTCTTACGCCATCAGGACTTGCTATTTGTTAACAACGTAATATATATCATATGTTTGCTTTACTTTTGAAAAACTAAACTAAATCAAGCCCAAAAACAAGTTTTGAAAAATTATGCCAAAAAAATATTACAAATCAATGCCCAAAACAGTAGGCCAAAAATTGCAGTTTGATTTGGGTTTTCTTTATAAAAAAAAAAAAAAAAAAAAAAAAAAAAAAAAAAAAAAAAAAAAAAAAAAAACCGAATTAAATATGGTGTGGTTTGGTTTGAATCGAATAGTAATATGGTGTGATGTAGTTTGAAAAATCCCAAACCGAATTAATATAGTTTGGTTTCGCTTTGGGCTATAAACTGCACCGCAAACCAAACTTTCACCCCTAATCTCATTTGGATTATTTTTAAATAATCCGAACTTTGGCATTCGTTCGCTTAAATTGATCCCAACCGGTCACCCAACCTGTTATAAAAGGTTAAGGTGACACATGTCACCCCGTAATTGGTTGAAAAAAAAAATTTAAAAAGTTGAAGATTAAAAAAAACAAAAAAAAAAAAACCAGCTCCACCCATAACCACTTTCCCCACCGCCAACCCCCCTACCCACTAAACCACTACACCAAACTACAACCCTTAAACCCCCATCTTAAAATCCCTAAAAAACCCTCCCCCCACTGCATTATATTAACCCCCCAGTCGGCCCTCTCCACCCTGGCAACTAGGGGTTTCAAGGGTGGGGGAGGCTGGTCGGGGGGTTAATGCGGTAGGGGAGGGTTTTTTAGGAATTTTGGGATGGGGGTTTAAGGCTTGCGGTTTGGTGAGTTAAGGCTTACAGTGCGGTGTGTAGGGGGGTGGGCGTCTGGGCGCTGACGAGGGTGGGGGCCGAGTGACCTGGGCTAGGCTTTAGGGAGGGGCCACCGGAACAGTGGGGTTGCAAACTTGGGAATACTTTTAAGAAAAATTGTCCGACCTTTGCCTCATCCGCTCAAAATAATCCCACCTTTCGATTTTTTTTTAATAATCTAACCTTTAATGTCAATCTGCTTCAAATGATCCCAAGCGGTCATCTAACTTGTTATACCAAGTTACTTGACATGTGTCATCACGTGATAGGTCAAAAATATTTATAAAAAAATTCTAAAAAAAACCTTTAAAAACATAATAATAATAATAATAATAATAATAATAATAATAATAATAATAATAATAATAATAATAATAATAATAATAATAATAACAACAACAACAACGATAATAATAATAAAACCCAGCCCGTAGCCTTGCCGTCACTCCCCTTAGGCTGCTGCGCCGACAACCCCTCCTCTTCCACCGTCACGTTTTCGGCCCCCTCTCCTTCCCCGCCACGTTTCCGACCCCTCCCCTTCCCATGTCTCTTTTCTGGCCCCCTCCCTTTCCCCCACCCCGATTTTGGCCCCCCTCCCCTTCCCTCGTTCCGTTTTCAGCCCACCCCTTCCCACGCCTTGATTTTGGCCCCCTCATCACCTTCCCACGCCTTGATATTTTCATGTAGCAATAACCACTTCTTAGCACGCACACTCACTCGCCCCACCATCACCACTATTGTTACGGTAATGGGTGTGGGTTTAGAGGCGACGAAAGGGGTAGAGGGAGGGGTGACGACCAGCGTGGGGGAGCTAGGGTCTGGGTGCAGCGGGGCTAGCAGGGAAATGCCTGGTGTGGGCCGATGGTGGGTGCGAGAAGGTGGCTGGGGCTGGTGGTGGTGGTTTTAATTTTTAATTTTTTTAAATAGTTAATTAATGTTAATTAATAATAATCACTTCTTAAAAAAAAAGTTAAAATTAAAACTTGTTTTTTTACCAATCACGTGGTGACACGTATAAATTAAACTTAATAAAAAAAGTTAACTACTTAACCGGTTACAAGTCACTTGGGACCATTTGAAGAAGATTCACATTAAAGGTCGCATTATTTAATACTAATCGGAAGGTGGGATTATTTTGGGCGGATGAGACAAATGTTGGATTATTCCGGGTAATTTTTCCTTATTTTTACCAATTTTTCCTATTTTTTATAAGTCAAATTTTAAAAACTTCGACAAATTGTTACTAATATTACTTATAAGAAATAATATGGTTTTATTTGATTCATTTTTTAAAAAAAATCTAATATCATATCATCACTAATAAATAAAGCTGAAATCTTGCAGTGAGACCATGAGACATCGACACTTGGCATTCCAAGTTTTCGCCAAGTGTCGCGCCACGTCAATGACAATTGTGCATTAGTTATTTTAGAGTTTTATTTTTTATGTATAAAATAAAATCCTTTCGAAAAGTAATTCAAAATAAGATTTATTTGTGATATTTTTTTATTATAAAAAAAAGAAATGAGACCATTACTTTAGTAAATTTAAGATATATTCTTTTAATTAAATGTAAAAAATTATATATTATGTGGAAATTTTGGTCAAATTATTAAGTATAAAAAAGGCGTATAAGCTAAGTTATTTAGATTAACTTAATATTTATTTCAAAAAAAAAAAAAAGCTTAGGGCTAGTTTTTCCCCAAGATTATATAACATTTAATTTTTTTAAAAAATATCAAATTAAAATTATAAAAATCACATTTAATTAAAATTTAAAAAAAAATCAAATTTGGATTAGATGAAAAAAAAGATAATAACGTACGAAGTATATTTATATAAAAATAATTAGAAAAATATTGAAAAAGAAATAATGAAAAGAATGAAAAAAAACGTTCAATTATTTAGGTAAAAAAATAGTATGTGTATTTAAAAAAAAAAATTAATATGATATAAAATAATATTTTAATTAAAATTCACTATAAGGTATAATATTGATCATTTATTAAAAAAAAATTGATTAACAAACTTTTATCATATAGTTTATGAAATTGACACTATATAAATCAAACCATTTAACAAACACTACATAAACCATTTAACAAGCACTTTATGAGAGACGTAAATGACGAGACTTTATCTTGATATTGCTAATGTCTATGGAGATGATGGATGGTGAAGAAGAGCGCACTATGCAACATGAAAGAAACCAAAGAAAATAACAATGATGGGGTGGTAGAGTGTAGGCCGGCGGTTTTGACGGTTAGGGGGGTGGTCGGCCGGTTTCCAACGTGTTCAGGGGTGGGGTTATGGTTTGGCGATGGTTGAAGGTGGCTAGGAATTTTGGGTTTTTTTTTTGTTTTTTTATTTAAATTTTGGACCAATTACGTGTTGACACGTGTCATGGTAACCTGTTATAATAGATTGTTGACTTGGTGTTGACCGGTTGGGACCATTAGAGGCAAACTGACCGTCCATATTTGGGATTATTAAAGTGTATTTTTCTTAAAAGTTTTCCCGTAAAATATTTATAATAAAAGTTTATTTATTAAAAAAAAAGTGTAATAAAAGTTTATTTGATAAAAAAATATATTTTTTTGATTTTCCTAATGCAGAGTAGTCTATTGTAAATCATTGAAATATGGACATTTTAAAGTAACAAAAAAAAAGAATAAATAATGAGTTTGAAAATTATATGAACGACTCCTGTAAATGATATATTAATAAGGTTTTATAAATAATAATAATAACCATAAAGTTTTATACAAAAAAAAAAAAAAAAAAAAAAAAAAAAAAAAAAAAAAAAAACATTCTGAACGATATATTAACAATAATTTATTAGATAAAACAACAAATTTTAAGTGATATTTTAACATTAAGTTATAAGATTTATTTTAAGTGATATATTTACACTAAGTTATAAAATAAAATTCTTCAAGGAAAAGGTAAAAGATAAAACAAATAACTTTGAATGCTCCACATAAGATATTCATAGAGTATTATGATAATTTCATTCAAAAATATACTATAATTCTAGATTACCTCTACTACTCGTATTTTTAAATAGTGGAAACAAAAGGACATCATTAGAAAACGGTTTATTTGATTTTTGTTTGATTGTGAGTCAAAAAATGGTTCTCATGGATGCTTTGACCTCAGCTGATTATCTTCAATTTAGAAGAACCTTTGTTTTTTCATGATCGTGAGATAGACTATCGGGAGTATCACAAAAATAGCAACCACACCAGCTTTGCAATACCATTCTTAACACACACCCAAAAAAATAAAACAGTTGTCAAATTTGTAAGAAAGTCAATAACAAAGATAAATATTAAAATAAAATTAAAAAGCCAAAATTACTGGGAATTATGGCCTTTTGGGGTTTCAAAAATAAGAGACTGTAGTAGTAATTGTCCAAAATTGATGATAAAGAAACAGACCAACGCCATGCTGTCAATCCTAAGAAAAATATGATTAGATAAATAATAAAATTAAGGAAAATAATAAAATTAAGGAATGATGAGGTATTTTGATAATTACTTGTTCACTTTAAGCGCAAATGCCCCGGTAGGAAGGCTCGACAGGTGGAGGAGCTGCTTGGAAAGCAATTAACAAGCACAACAGTTCTGTAATACCATCCCTCTCCCTAATAATATAACACACACACACACAAAATACAAATCAAATGTCAAACTTGTGAGATAATAAAAAAAATGTAAATAAATAACTAAAAAAAACAAAAATTAATGGGAATTGAATCTGGGGTCTTAAAGGCGAAAACATGTATCAAAAATTCTATTAAGCCAATGATAAAGAAAAGCACCTTCGCCACGACGTCAATCCTAAGAAAAATAAATTAGATTAATAATAAAAATTAGGGTTGAGCACGGATCGGATATCCGATATCCGTATCCAAAAAAGCAGTTATTTGATATTCGTATCCGATCCGAAATTTTTTGGATATCCGAATATCGAATATCCAAAAATTTTGGATTGGATAGGTCGGATATTTAATATCCGAACCTTTTAACAAATAAATACACAAAATACAGCTTTAATGGAAAATTTGATTTTTTGAACAATTAAATCCCAGAAAATCATAATCAATAATCAAATAACCCACAATAATGTAAGAATAAATATATACATAAAGAATCATTTAAAACAAAATGAAGAAAATAATCAGAAAAAGGTAAAAAATTGTTCCAACGTTTGACGCCAACTCGGCGACGACAGTGGGTTTGGTGATCCGTAAAGCTTGAGCCGGCTGGTGGAGGTTGGTGAGCATGAGCCGTTGAAGGAGATCAGATATACTAAGAGAGCTCACTAAGCTAGGTGAGTCGGT